CCCCTCCTTCCCCTCCTTCCCCTCCTTCCCCTCCTTCCCCTCCTTCCCCTCCTTCCCCTTTTTTTTTAGTCGAGGAATGATTAAAGGAACACTGAAAAAGTGCTTTAGTAAGAATTCTTGCTTTGGAGTTACTGTATTCATTGTTACTGTGTTCATTGTTCAAAGTGAAAGGTTGCTTCATGACGGATTTACAGGATAAAGCACCTAATCAAGTGTGGTCTGTGGGAAAGTCAAGGAAGTGAAATCTGTTTTTTTAGTTTAAATGCAATATTTTCTGCTTCCTCAGAGATAAAATACTGAACAGAGTATGCAAAAATAGTGTGGAAGTGTTAATTATAAAACTCCTTGGCCCCTCAGGAGCAGCTGAAGATGAAGGATCAATCATTGAGAAGACTGCAACAGGAGATGGACAGTTTGACCTTTCGAAATCAGCAGCTTGCCAAGCGAGTAGAGTTGCTTCAAGATGAACTTGCTTTAAGTGAAACTAGGGGCAAGAAGAGCAAGGTATATGATAAAGGCAAACAACTTTTTAGTAAATGTCTCTGTTGTCACTGTTTTATCCTGAGTTTTGGCACAGTTGCTGTGTGTGAAAGCTTGACCTTAAGATTCTCGATGGAACTTCTATTCTTAACCAAGAAAATGTTACTGAAAATATTGACTAAACAGGTAAAAAATGTTTTTAAAATATATTGTATGCTAAATAGGATTTTTTTCTTGATTTATTGTATGCTAAATAGGGTTTTCAGCTTGACTGCTGACTGACATTGAATTGGTATATCCCTTTCTATGTCTTCAAAAATTTTTAAACAGCCAGAGAAGACTGTGGAACTTTCTAATTAATCTGTGAGGAAAATTGACTATCTTTCTTATCCAACTCTCACTACTTTGTTATTTTGATGTTCTTTTGTGAATCTTGTCAAATGCTTTGAAGTCTGAATTTTCAGCTAGTACTCTTTATTTCGTTTCAAAATGATGAAATAATGACAGGAGTAGTGAGGTTTCTTTTTCCGGAGATGCCAGCTGATTAAGACTAGTTTGTCGTGTTATCCAGATGCCTTAGCTCAGCCAGTTCCTCTTCAGGTAACTTGAGGATTCCCAAGGATGTTCCATCAGGACTTTCTCAAGCAATCTTTGATACTCCCCTTCTTAATTACTACGACCTATTATTTTTTGACATCTTCCAAAACTCCATAAATACTAATGTAAAAATATCTTTCAATTGTTTAGAAATATGCTCATCTTCCTTACTTTCTCATGTAACTTCTGTGCTTTTTTTTTTTTAAATCGGGTTTATCCAGTTCCTTGATGAAGATAGTGCCTCTGATTCATGTTACTTGTCGATCTTAATATTTATTTTCTAAGTGTGTCTTGGCCTTTCATATCTTTATTTCACGTTACATAACTGAGTTTCATCAGTCATATTTCCAAATTTTCAAGTAGTTTAGTTTGTCTTTAGATGATTTGCAGACTGTTGCTACTAATTTTCCTGCTCAACTATGAGAGGCAAATTTTACATTAAGCAGTGTCTGTGCTGCTTTTTAAGTACGCTGCCTTTAATTCAACACAGAGCCTTTTTCAGCAAGTGTATGTTGCTGAACGCTCCCTTAGTAGGTTCAGTGATACCTTCAGATTTTCTGTCTTTGGGAAACCAAGTACATCATATTTAGACTAAGCTTCTGGAAAATCATTTGTGTTGGACTTTGCTCCTTCCAGAAGGAATGGAAGGTGGCCCTGTTTCTTACATGATCTAGTTTAAGACTGGTGTCAAAAAGTGTTGTTGGTTTCGCTCTGCCAGCTCTCCCAGACACTTGAAATTCAATAAATGTTTGTATGGACAAGCCGTTCCGTGTGTCTATGAATGTGACCGTTTCTGTTATTAACTCATCTCCAGTGGGCATTCTACCATGATACAAAACCAATTAATGCTGCTTTTAGGCTCACATATGTATGCTAGTCAGTCTAATATATCCGTTTATTATGAATATAATGATAACTATATTAGCTACGTATGTAATCATAGAATCATTGAGGTGCAAGGGACCTTTGTACATCATCTAGTCCAACCCCTCTGCACACACAGGGTCACCTAGAGCATGTGGCAGAGGATCATGTGCCTCTTACAGAAGAAATTTAAGCGATGGGAAATGTCTTTGGTTATTTGGGAACAGGTGCTAATGAGCACATGCTTTCTTTTAGAAAAGTGGAGAATCTTCATCTCAGTTGAGTCAAGAGCAGAAAAGTGTCTTCAATGAAGATCTTCAAAAGAAGATAGAAGAGAATGAGCGACTACACGTACTTGTAAGTAAAACGGATCTTTTAACTGAATGATTAGTGAGTTTTGAAGCTTAATTGCATGCAGAATAGCTGATTAAGTTAGACAGCATTGTTTATAAAGATATTCAATTGGCAAATGAGAAAGTAACTTGACTTTATGTTCTTAAGACAATATGTGGAATAATTCACATTACCATAGCAATAGATGGTTCTCATTTAGTTTTGTAACTTTCGGTGTTTCTCAGCTGCTGTATTGAAGATGACTGTATAGTTGGTATTGGATGGAAGCTTTTTCTTTGCCCATAGTTTCAAAATTGCTTTAAAACTGAAAATATTTTCTGCAGTTTGACAAGAATTACTGTGTCAAAATAGAATGTGTTTCGCTGCTTTAGAAAACTTGGGGGAAATTAAGCTGAACCACAAACCTTTTGCAAGTGTCTATTTATCAGTCATAGTTTTTTTTTTTTTTTTAAAGTTCTTGCAGCATCAAGCATTCTTTAAAAATAAGTGCTTTGTTCCTCAATCTGTTTTCTGCATATGGCAGCGTGAACTCACCTGAGGGCTAATAAGCGAATACTTGTTATTAAAGTGGGCCTAATTGGTGTCATTGATGTCATTGATAGGACTAGATTCCACAGCACTAAATGAAAGTGAAGCTCTTGCACACAAGACTTGCTTTTCTCATTGTAGTTCTTTGAAGCAGATGAGCAGCACAAACGTTTAGAAGCCGAGTTGAGAAGCAGGCTTGATGTTTTGGAAACAGATGCTGCCCAGCATCAAGCTGTGGTGGACAGTTTAACACGGAAATACACAGATACCATAGAAAAGCTGCAGAATGATAAAGCCAAATTAGAAGTAAGGAGTTTTTTGTTACTTGATAAACTTGAAAAGTTTTGAAATTAAATATTTTGTTGTGTCAGTACTTACATTGTGAGATTATCTTCTTGCATAAAGATCAAGTCTCAGACACTAGAAAGAGAAGCTAAGGACTGTAGGCTTCGAACCGAAGAATGGTAAGTGTTTTTATTTAATATAATGAAAAAAAAATGATTTAAAGAAATAGCTGCTTTAGGGAAATGAATGGGGTTACTTTTGAAGGGAAAAAACAACTGATTAACACTGATTAAAAGCGAAATCACAAAGCAACAACACGTTAACATCAAGACTATGCACCTTAGGTCCCCTTTCCTTCTACAGAGTGTGTAACTAGACAGTTGCTTACAGGGATGTAGACAAACGTGCCTTGATAAACAGCTGTTAAATTATTGCAGATAGCTGATGAATGACTACAGGGTTTATTGGAACTGGAAAGAAGCTGTTGAACTTCTATGAAACAAAGATGTGTGAGTTTTTACACACTGCTTTCAAAAACTAAGTTTGGGTAAGGCACTTTAAATGCTGAAAGGCAATTTCAAAAGTCCCCATCTGCTTCATATGCTTCTTGAAGCCCCAAATCATATATTTTACTTATTTTGGTAAATAGAACATCCTTCAATTCTAATAATTCTCCTCTAATGTAGATCAGATTTTCACTTACAATATGACGTGAAGAGGTTGGATTTTTTGTTTTGCTCATATTTGCTTTTTTTCGTGTGTGTTTGATATGTAGCATAGATTTGAAAGGTGGTGATGCTCTGTTCTGTTTCTGTGGCACTGAGAGCTTGTCGGTTGTAGGAAATTCCAAGATGACTGGTAATTAGCGTCATTATAAGGAAAGAACTCTACCATTTAACACAGCAGGCTTTTGAAATTAAAAATAAAATCCTGACACTATTTCAAAACTGAAATCAATATCTAATGAGTACTTGACACGGGCATCTTTATGAAAATGTTGCTCTTTGGTTTTCCCTGCTTCTTCAGGAAGATAGGATCCCTTTGCGTCTGAGATCCAAGCTTTATTCCAAAAAGCCAGAGGATACCAGGCTTAACAGCCTGTATGCCTTGAAAATCAAAGGACAAATCATGAAACAAAATATATCAAACTATTATTTTTTTAAAATTCTCCTTGACAGTATAGCAGAGAAACAACAATACTTCCTTAGTTTTTTTATTTTTTTAAGCATGTACAATATTGTTCATATTCCACAGCTTCCCATGTGTCCAGTGTGTTTACACTTCATGCTCTGGAGTTTCTGTGCACTTTTTGCAGCTGCTCTTCAAGAAAAAAAACTTTATTAAAGTGCATGACATGCTTATTGGCCAATTTCTTGGTATTTTATTTGTTTGGATTTTTTTCCCTATTTGTATTAATGTATTAAATGTAAAACAAATTGTCAGTCTGAAACCTTCCCTCCCACCATCCAATATATGTGCAGGAGTTCTAGATGTCAGACTGGAAACAAAGCAATGAAGAATTGAGGGCCTGAGCTGGGTAAGGTGTGGAATTTGATCTGAAAAACAATGTACAGTAATCCTTGTTAGCATATATATAATGCTAGGATATAGTACTGTTATTTCAGGCATCTGGGATAACAGTATTAGTAATTAGCACAACATAGATTCACATTTAGTATACACAAGCAGATATAGGGGAAAATCACTTTAGAATGCAAATTAAATGTAATTGCCAGATCTCTTACAAATGTGCTGTAGCAGAGCAATATTTAGATATAGAAATTTGTAATGCCCATGATGTATTTCTAGTAATGAGGGTAACTATCAACTCATTTCTTGTATGTTGGGATACCATATCAGGTAATTCATTTGAAGGTCTGTTTGTGAGCCAGTTCAAATGACAGTGAGCAGAATAATTTTGTATAGCTTATATCATGAATATAGTATTGGAAACTAATATGAAGGCTAACTTCAAAGTAATCTGAATTTCTCAAGAATAGCACAGCAAAATTTGCAGTCCTTTCTAGCTTCTTTCACTGCTTTTGTTAGGGGTTAAAATGCAGCACATGTTCTAAAATTGACATGAAAGAGAGAACTCCTACTGTTTGATTTCTATCGAACTTCTGGAAAGGGAGCTCTGTTAACCCCAGGGAGGCTTAGAGTGAGTTAGTGATGAGGGTACAAATTAAACTTTAAGACTTGACGTTGTATATGTTTTTTTTATTGTTATTTAGCCAACAGCAATTGAAGAACCTTCAAGTGGCTTTGGGCAGTAGACTTGAAGAATCTCTATGTATAATCAATGAAAAAGTACCTTTTAATGACACACGTAGGTATTGCTTTGGCTTGGGTTTTTCTTGGCTGTCTTGATCAATTTGGGTACCCAACTGGAGGTAATATTATCATCTGAATTAAGATATGAGTGTGCTGCATCAGTCTGTGCTGTCTGCTGTCCTGAAGAGCTTGAACAGTAGGTTGTCCTTGAGCAGGCAGGCAGGGAAATGAGCAGGAGCTGGAATACTGGTAGAGCTGAAACTAGTGGGCTGTAGAAACCAAAGTAAGTTAGAAACCGCCTTCCATTCTCTGTGCCACACCTCTTTGTATGTCCCTTTGGAATTTAGAAATCATCCAAGGTGCTCTCCAACTGGAACAGAATGCTTAAATGTGTGGTGATTAGAATTTACATAATGAAGGAATCAGGTGCATGCAGGAGCATTTAAAAAAAAATCACAAGCGACAAGCCGATCATGTGAAAATACTTTTTCTTATTTGTCTGTCTCTGGAATATAATGGAAATTTGAAGATCCTGTTGAGTTTTTTTAAGGATTTTTAAGACCCTTCACTCTTGTTTAGTTAATAATATTGATCTTTTGGATAACAGTATAAGGCTGCTGCTGTTTCCTATCAGAAAATCTAGGGCGTTTTAGATGGATAAATGTGAATTGTAATCTGAGGCAACTGTGGAAATCTTTTCTCCTGCTGATGATACTAGCAGCTCTTAAATGAGTCTGCTTAGACCTACTTTATTGAAGTGAATTGCTTGGATATTTTTAGAATTGAACACTCTTACGCTGAAAAACTTCAATTTAAAATAATTTTTTACTAATAAGTGTTCTATATGGAAAGTATGATTTGATAAGTATATTTAACTTGATTTTGTCCTGTAGGATCTAATCGGTACAATGCTTTGAATGTACCAGTACATAACAGAAGATATCAGGTGAGCATCTTTGTGGCTTCAAGTGTAAAGGTGTAACTTTCTATGCAGATACAATGTAAAAACAGTCATTTTAGTGACTCTAAATGCCAGAAGATGATTCAGGGGAATTTCTGACCACAAAGTCTTTGTACTTTGCATTGTTCTCATGTGGAAGAGTCAAGTCTTACTTGCCTCACTCTGGACTAGGTCTAGTCTTTTGGCCCCGGCAGATGATCACTGCAGGCTGTTAACTTAAGTATGCTGTTCTAGAAAGAATGGCAAAAAGATTTAGTATTGGTCTTTTAAAAAAAAAAAAGTTTTTTTTTGAAATGCTTGTGACTTTGCAGATACGCAGTAAGGTAGAACTCAAACTCTTTATTTCTAAAATTAGTTTAAGCTTTGTCATTTTAGGAGTCTTAACCTTTTCTGCAGGAGAATGGTAACTGATATATTTAATTTCTTTTTCATCAAAATCAGCCTCTTCAGTTGCATACCTTGAGCCTTAAAGAATGTTTTTATTTATAAACTGTACATTAGTGTATTCTAGAATATATTTTAATATTATCTACTAGTAGTCCTAATCCTTTCAAGGATCAAATTGTATATATTTAAGAACTGTATGGTTCAATTCTATTTTATCTGATACTTGAGACCAAAGCACCCATATGAATTTACGTAATGGAAAGTGAACCGTTAATTCAGCTGTTGCATAAAATAAAAAGTTTCTGTCCCTACAGAAAAATATACAATTACAAATGGTGTTGTAAATAAGTAAACTTTAATTATTAAGGTATAGATAATTGTTATCCTGTATTTGAGCTGACTAGAAATAGATAGTCATAGATAATGGGTTATTTTTCTTATATTTAACCATAGAATGTTTTTCTAGTTTAAACAGGTACAACTTACATATAACTTTTTATGACTGTCTTTACAGCTGAAGTTGCGAGACCTTGCTGGACAGGCACTAGCTTTTGTTCAAGATCTTGTAACAGCTCTTCTAAACTTTCACACGTACGCTGAACAGAGAGTCCAGATATTTCCTGTTGATTCTGCAACAGACACTATATCACCATTAAATCAGAAGGTAAAGCTTGCTGATGTCAGTTGTAAGTTTGCTGAGTTATATTAACTTTCGAGATAATTTTGATTGTGAAACTTTCTTCAACTACTTTTGCCAGATGCTAAAAGTTATGCTCCTAGCGGGCCAGCCTTTCTTTCATGGGAGGACTTCTCTTTCAGGTGAATTCTTTCAATGTGAGCAAGGGTGGACGTTTTTGTTGCAGACAATTCTTTTCTCTTGTGCCTTTGCTACAAGAGCAATATGATAGTCAGATCTAAGCTTTTCTTTTAAAGTGCTGATTTGGTTTGCATTTATGAAAAGTTTAGCTGACTGCTTTAAAATACTCTAATTGTGCAATATTTGGGTATGTGCTTCACTTAGTTATAAAAGCATAGTGGAAGAATGGAAAATATTGGACAGAACATCTTGTGTTTAACTCTAGTGTGAAATGAACTGTGTGTGAGGTAGTTTTATGTAAGAGAGAACTTGGGTGTCTGTTCCATCATCAAACACTAACCTTATGTTTTGGTTTTGGATTGTCTGTGCTACCATCTTTCTTGCAAGTGTTCTGAAGTATCATGTCTGTAAAGCATGTTGAAATAATAATTTTTTTTATAACAGCCCTGCTCATTCCATGCAACTCTGAAAGATATTTCTGAGAACATCATACAGAACTGTTAAGCTGTTGTCTGGGACTTTTCTCTATGCCATAAAGCACAAACTAGAATTTTATGCACAAAGATGTGGGGCAAATGTGTATGTTTTGCTATAAGCTGCCTTTGATATCTGAATTGTTCTCTTCATAGTGCCAGTGGATCTATGCGTATTTCAGCTGTCTGATAACCTAGTGTTTGTTTTTTTTGTTTTTTTGTTTTCTTTCTGGAGTCAGATGATAATATAGTAGTTTTAATGGGTCAGACTTAAGCCACAAGAAAAACATTTTTGTTCTTTAAGTGATTGTAGCATACGTAATGGCAATGTAAACCATTCCAAAACTTCCTTGTTCTTGGAAGGACCTCTTTAATCTCTTTGCAGTCAACAAATGTGTGTGTGTGTGTGTGTGGAGATCTTTATCCACTAAAGAAATCCCAGCCCATTTACTTTCTCAGCCCTTTTGGCTATTCCAGTCAAAGACACACTGTGTCAGAGGTCCATAGATTTTAATTTGAGAAAGACAGTTTTGTTGTTTTTGGCACTGAACACACTCAAGATGACACATCCTCTTCCAAATTCTTTGGGGCAGGAGCTGTGTCTCCTTGTCTATAAGGCCTAGTATGGTGATGGGATTCTACAGATATTAATGCTATTTATGCTAAGTGAATAAAATTTCCTAGTCATCACTTCTTGCACTTGTTTTAATTCTTAGTGTCCTGATTAACACTTCCCCACTGCTTTTCAGCAGAGAAAAGTGCTTTTACACAGCTGAAACCTGCAACTTAATTGGAACTGTAATTTGATTCTTTCTCGTAATTGCCTCTGGTTCAGTAGTGCAGGCCCGTTTTGTCCTCGCAGTGGTCCCTTGCAGTTTGCCCCTATTCCAGCTTGTTTGCAACCAAGCTGCCTTAGTGCAGCTCGCTGTGGCTTTCCAGCAGCCGAGTGTCTTTTGTCACTTCTCAAAGCTGCTGCTGTATTTTTGGCTCTCTATTTGCTTGGCAAGTGTTCTCGGTGTGATCTTAGCTCCTCCGCTGAGTGGTTCAAAAAAATCTCCCCTTAATGCAGGAGAGAAAATGAGACGTTAGTGTTGTGTAGTGGCTCAGCGCACTCGCACTGATATATTTTTCCCTGACTCCAGGATTTGTCTGGTGCTTTCAAGCTATTTCCCCCAACAAACACTCAAAGTAGATGTGGACAATTCCCTTCCAGGTTCAAGTATTCCTTTTCTCTTTGAGTATTGGATTGCTGGGTTCTATTGGGTCTTCAGCCTCATACCAGATAACTCCAGCCCTCTTGCAGTACAAGACAGGAGCATTTTGCATGCGCTATTTCTTGCTCCCTAAACTTAAGATTTTTTTTTTCCTAATTCCATCCAGATTTGTGCATGCATGAATGAGAGCTAAGCATTTCTCTTAACGCTGTGTTTCTGCATTGTAATTAATTGGAAACTTATACACTACTTGCCTGGGATCTTTAGCTAGTTTCATAATATGAATAATCAAAGGTGAAGGTGTCTTGCTGTGTGGCAACATAAAAACCAAGATTACTTTTGGATATGTGTGTCAGTCTGTGGAAGAACGTTTTTTCTAATACTGTGGTATCAGTCAAAAGCTGATGTTATTTTTACATTGCAGTTGAATGGAAGAGTAAATAGCTTAGTTTTCAAGGCACATACCTTTTTTGGGGGTGGAATTTACAGAAGACTTTTAGCCAAATCAGACAGCTGCCTGAGGCCCAAGTTTCACCTTTGCTCTAACCTGGCATAGCCACAGAAAGCAGCAGTTCCACTTGGTGCAAGAGTGACCCTCGACATGGCATAGCCACAGAAAGCAGCAGTTTTCCCTTTCATTAGTTATTGCCTCCTTCTTTGCATTGGCATAAGCATGCCTTGCTCATGCAGCAAACTGGTCTAGAAGCAGATTCAAATTAAAACTTACCTGCTAGCTTTAAGCCAGCCTAGGCGTAGCGTGGTTTGTGCTGATGCCCAGGACAAGGAGTGCTACGTGCAGAGCCGGTGAGAGGAAGGTAGGAGAGCTCACTTTGCCTGGAACTAGTCTTATTTAACGTAACTGAGCTCTGAGGAATGCAAAACCTTGTACTTGAAAAGCGTAGGTCTGGTGTGCTGTGCATGGCCGCTGCAGGGAGACAGGGTGCTGTGGAAAGTCCTAGGTGGGGTTTTGCATTATAGCCTTCACTAAATCCCATGCCTCTCCCTCAAGATACAAGTTAGTCTACCCTGTAGAAGAGGCAGCTGTGCATCACGTCACTGTTACATCTTGTAATCCACCTGCTTGGTGTTATCTGAGATAAAAGGTGCTACGTGGAAGTGAACTGTTCAATTGCTGACTCGAAACCCTTTGCCAAAGCATCCAGCAAGCACCATTTTAAATCTCTCTGTGCTCAGTTCTCACAGTATCTTCACGAAAATGCTTCGTACATCCGCCCTCTGGAGGAAGGAATGCTGCACTTGTTTGAAAGCATTACGGAAGACACTGTGACCGTGCTGGTTAGTTTCCTTATTTTTAGCCTTGAGAAAGATCTCTGCTCTACAAAAATACGCAGGTGGTGTTTTTCTTCTAGGAAACAGCTGTGAAATTGAAGGCTTTTGTGGAACACTTGTCTTCGTACTTGTGCTTTTTAAGAAAGATTCTTCCTTACCAATTAAAAAGGTACTTCTGATTTAATAGATCAAAATCAAGGGGCACTGTGTATCATCTTGTTCAGTAGCACTGGTACTTTTGGGTATTGTAGACAGAAGTTGCTAAATTCCTAAGTCTGCCTAGAGGTGTAGATAACACTAAGATCTAGAGATGCAAAGTGAACTAAGCCAGATGCACCCCTTTATGCAGTGAAAAACTTTGTTCTTGGGTAGTTTGAAGGGAGGTGAATAATCAGCACTAAGTAATGCTTGGAAGGAAAAGGAAAGAGCTTATTTCATGCCTCCTTTGTGCCTCTTCTCCTCCACTTGCAGCCCAACAAAAGAAATGCTTTATGTGGTAGAGGAAAGGTTTTTAAACTGATGCTCTCAATTCCTCACCATGGGTATACACAGCTCTGCTCCTCAGGAGGTCCTGCCTTTTGACAGAGGCTTCCGAGAGGCTTCTGCCTGCACTCAGAAATTGTCATGTATAGTTAAGTTACTGCAGTATATAAACCTTTCTTAAGTACTGTACTACTGCTCTTTCAGGCTTGGGATGTGGAGAACATTATTTATGTAGTCCCAGAATCACAGACTTGTTTCTCACAATACTTGTTCTGGGTTTGTTTGTTTGTTTGTTTTTAACACATTCATGTATTCCTAGTTTGGAAGAAGAGTGTGAGTCTTCTCTTTGCACAGCTGCCTTAAGAGCTAGAAATATGGAGTTACACAGAGACATGAAAAAGTTGACTGCCGTCTTTGAGAAGCTACATGTGTACATTAGTCTCCTTGCTCTACCAAGTAGGTGTTTCTTTCAGCTCAAGTACTTTTTGAATGTGAGACACTAGTGTTCATTTTGAGCTAACTTTCCGTAAAAAAAAATCTGTGCATGCAGGAAAATGAGCTTAATGCTTATTTTTAGTTACAGACTAAGCAATGGGGCAGGTGAGTTCTGCAGCATGTCCTGCTGTATTGGGGCCCTGCAGCACTGCGTGTGCTGCAAGACACTTTTCTTTCTATGTGCCATTTTACTCTCTCCTTGTTTCCCTTTCCTGATGGATGTGGCCAGTGTTCAAGCTAGAAGCTGGCAGGCAATTCAATCTAGCACATTTTCTATAGTCAGTTAACTGTAGAGAAGAAATGATTTTTTTTATAGTATGATCGACACTACATCTTTTGTCATCACTTAATAATTGCTAATAAATCAAATTTCATCATTTATCCCTTTCAACTCCTATCCATAATGTTATTAAGCTGCCACTTGTAGTTATAATTAAATAAAATCAAGTCAAATCTTTGGGTGGGGAACAATATTCAGATGCATGTTTGCAAATAAAAGCAGATAGTTGTTATAAAACTTCAGGTTATTTCAGTCTTCACTTCTTAGGAGGACAGTGATATTTTTTCCTGTAATGAATGCTTTTATATGAATAATTCATCATTGAGACAAAAATTGCTGAGGATATTTGTAAAGTCTAAATGAAATCTAAAAAACTTGGAAGTTTTTGACCCGCTTACTCAGTAAGCAAAATTCAGTAGAGAAATTTAATGCTAAAGGGGAAATTTTAATCAATGAATCTGACTCATCTGTTCTAAAGATTACACCCCATGCAAATGTTTCTAGCAGGCAGAAACTGGGTGCTTTTTCAGAGCTAACTTTTATTATTGTTATTATTTTCATTTTTATGTGGACTCTTTAGGTACAAAACCAGAAGGTCTCCTTAGGACAAATTACAGCTTCGTATTTACAAACATTGCTACAAGTCTTCATGGATTTCATGATATTCTGAAAGGTGAGAGCAAGGGATTAGTGGCATGTTTCACCTTTGTTACTTTCCATAGAAATATATACATACATGTATACTTTGTGTGGCTGTATGTTAGGTATGTAATGTGTGGTAAAATCTAAATTGGTAAAGGCAGAACATCAAATTAAACCTACTACCTGTTTGTTTTGGAGATCCATGCATGTTTTTCTGGCATCTTCCATTCTGATAGTTTTGTGCAAATTCCTGGGAAACCTACCTAGGGCTCTGTGGAATCGCCCTGAGCAGTATCACTGCAGTTTCCAAATTGAATTGCTGTGGTGAGCTAGCATACAGAATGGAATGCCGTTAAATATACCTATTTTCCGCTACAGTTGGCCTAATCTCAACAATCAAAATGGATTTTTTCCTTACAGTCTTCAGGCGAGTTGTTTTTCTAGCATGAATATGTAACCAAAACTTACCAGGAGGATGGCTTTCATTTTGAAATTCTAACTTCCTCCTTGAGAAGGGCTTATGCTGTCCTTTATCAAAAGGACATGGATGTGTTGCATTTTCAGTCAAGTACCATTTGGTTAAAACTGAGGGAAAAGAGATTTAAAAACCAAACTGTTTTTTGTTTATTTTAGAATATTCTGTACCATGTAGGCAATTTGCCTGTTTTTTTTTTTGTTTTCTCTTCAACCTTCCTCACCAACCCAAACTAATCCCCAGCTTCCTAAACTTGTCACCAAATATAATTTCCTTGGTGGTGATAACCTGGTATTTCTTCATTCTATACCAGTAGATTTTTATTGTAACGTGTTTATTTGTTAAATAGCTTGTTTTTTTAGCTAGACCTAAGTTAGGAATTTTTTCTTCCATGATAAACACTTGTTGATAAAAACCTTTCTTTAATTTTGGTGCTCCTGAAGTTAGTGTATGGAAACTACCACTTTTTTGTAAATGACTCTCAAAAAGTTGTTCTTTTCTTCTTAAGATTGTTAGTATTTTTAACTGAAAGAGTTAATTTGATTTAAAACACCATCCCTTCAAAGTCACGTAAATGACTCGAGTATCAAACATTAGTAAAATCCTGATATCTCTGTGTATGAAAGTGGTAAGTTTACTTTTGAAATTAATTTGTTAGTTTAAAACCTTGTCTCTCTTGTATTGCTGTCATTTTGGGGGATACTGAGCACACTTGGAAATATGGCCTTTTATTCTCCCCTTTGTGCACAGTGTTTATTTCTTAGGTTTGTAAGCCGTTGTTCAAGACAGTCTGCTAATGATTAAAGAATATCCAGGCTAATCTTTTATAAACTTACTTGCAGAAGAGAAAATGTTCAAAGCCCAAAGCCAGAAAAGTTGACTTTTAAAAATGGCTGATTAAACAGATAAAAGAAATAACTATTCTTGTTGTCTTTAGACATTTCCAAGCACTACAGTCAGAAAGCAACTTTAGAACAAGAGGTTCCAACAGCCACACAGAAACTTATAACAACAAATGACTGCATTTTATCCTCTCTTGTGGCTCTAACAAATGGAGTGGGCAAGGTAATAGTTTTCTTTGTTCCAATATAGTGTCTCAACTTGAGCAGACTTTAAAAACTGCATTGTAAAAATGTATTACTTGAGAAATGTAGTTATTACTGTTTCTGGTATTAATAATAGATAGTATTCTATGAGTATCAGTTTATTCTAAGCTATTTCTAGGCTATTTGTTAAAGGCAACTTCATGTTTAATAAGAGTAGGTACTGTGAAGATGATGTTGTGTTAATAAAGTCTATAAATGTGTAAGAGAAATGAAGGACATAACTTGTGTGAATTTCCTTTTGTTGTGAAATTCTCTTCCACTTAGTACTTTTTTATTGATGTTTTTAGATCGCCTCATTCTTTAGCAACAATTTGGATCACTTCACTGCTTCATTGAGTTATGGGCCTAAGGGAGGAACAGAATTCATCAGCCCTCTTTCAGCTGAGTGTATGCTGCAGTACAAGAAGAAGGCAGCTGCCTACATGAAATCTTTGAATAAGGTTTGTTCAACTAGCATATGTGCCCAGAGAAAGTACAGTTCACTTGCTGCTATGTCAAGAATCCAAACTAAGCATTTTCAGTATTTGGAATGATTTTTTCCTCTGAAGGAAAAATCCTTCCTTGAGGAAATGGGACTTTTTAGAGCAGTAATTCTCTGCAGAACTTGAGATTGTGTTTGCCCTCACAGCTGAGGGTGTGTGTTGATTTCACTGTCCACTTCCATTGATAACTTTGTGCCAGGACTCCCAGGAGAAGATGGTTCCTTGTTTACAGTTCTTACCATACTTGCTAAGAATATGGAGTGATCGATACTGTACTCTAAACCTCCAGCATTTTCCAGTCAAAGCAAGTATAACAGGCACAAAAAAGAGAGAAGGATGTATCCTGGAGAAAATGTGCCGAGTCAAAGGATTAAATAGTGCCAGATCTGCCTTCTTTTCCCACTAAAATTAGCAAATAAGTGGTGATGTACTTGACAATTATCATTAAATCACTTTGATTTATGTCAAGTGGACTTAAAGCTATATTTGATCATTAGGTAACACATGGAGTGTGCTGAGCTTTTTTAGTTGGATATATGTTACTTTATTTGGAGGTCAAGCAGCTTTTCTACTGGATATTAAATGTTTGGAATATTTTTTCTCTTTGCTAAAGGGATTATGGACAGTGAGGAGGTCAGAAAATGCAAGTTCTTATCTACTGTGAAACATGAGTGTGTTTTTTTTGTTTTTTGTTTTTTTTTTAAACCTATCTTTCTATAGCCTTGCTCGGATTCAGTGCCTTACGAAGAGGCTTTGGCCAATCGCAGAGTTCTTCTGAGCTCCACAGAAAGCAGAGAAGGCCTCGCACAGCAGGTAGGTTGGTGTAAGTTCTACTAGCATTTACTAATGCAGGTTGTAAAGGTAAAGCTCTGTTGGTTAGTCTCCCTTTGTATTTTGAAGCTTAAACTTAGACTGGAGGTATCTTGAGTTTTGAGAGTAAAGCTATCTAAGGTTTGCTGTCCTGTACCTGTAGCATATACATACAATTATGAAAGACGTGACTGCACCACTAATCTCTCTTGTACAAATACAAGATGCCACCTTTACCTAATAATTTAGGTAAGGCCAAAATAAAGACAAGAATAAAGCATTTTAAGGCACTCAGAACGTGCAGTTCTGAGTGTTCTTTCCTACTCTGTAGTATTTATCAGCAGCTAAATCGTTTTTTATGCTCACAGAACATGATTTTTTTCCTCTAAAAGGCTTCTGTGATTCTTAGTGGTTCTATGTGTAGTATATTAAATATGAAAGATTGAATATGAGAAATGTGCGAAATGATAGGATTGACCAGCCTCTGACCAGTAGTTCTCATGTGCAGATAAATAGAGGAATTTTGTGTTTTTTCTTTCTAAACCTGCAAGAAGACAGTGCTCTCTGTGTATCTTTCCAGTTTCTGTGCAGTTCTTCTAATCTTCTAATTCTTCTGTATCTTCACGAGCTGTAACTTCAGTCTAATTTGGTGTTCCCAGCTCTGAGCTGTGATTGTGTCCAAACACACTGCCCACTCAAACATGATCCCTTTTGACTGCTTGAACGTACTTATGGCTGCAACTCAGATCAATGGTGGTTGCTACTGTACTATTCAGTTAGCTCATTTGTGTCATGTTCCTAAATAATACTGCTGTCAAACAGTTCTTGTATGTTGTGTGTCTGGTAACCTGGACTGTAAACTCTTATTTCTAAAGGTTCCGCAGAGCCTGGAGAAAATTGCAAAACTTGAACAGGAAAAAGAGCACTGGATGTTGGAGGCCCAGTTAGCTAAAATAAAGCTAGAGAAAGAAAACAAAAAACTGAAGCACTCTCTTAGTGGACATTTAGCTGAATCTGTACAAGAGTGCTCTGTCTTGCCAAATACAGCTGAGCAGAAGGAGGAAACCATAGAGAAGAGGCAGAGGGAGCCTGTTAAAACTACGAGTTCGGTAGGTGATACTTCCCCTCAGTGGAGAGGAAGGAAGGAAAAGCTCTCTCTCCCTGTCTGGTTTTCAGATCAGGAAAAACCCTGCTTTTGAACTAAAATAGCATCTCAAGTTTTGGATGCTTTATTCAGTTCCTAGGCATTGCAGGAGTGTGTTCTCTTCTAGCAGCAATGCTTAGTGTCAGTTGTATATCAGCATTCGGTAGTCTTATTTCTTTTAAGCCTAAATCTGTCTTTCCATGGAAGTTGGCAACAATTCTGGCTCTATGAAGATACTTGCCCTTGAATCTTGCTCTTCATGTGCCCTATGTAGCTGGGTAACCCCTCGGCTTGAGTGGAATTAGTTCTCCTCCCTGGGCTGCCAATACAATTTATTAGCTTTATTGGAAAAAGAGGAGTTTAGAAGATGGCCAAGAAATCTAAGATGAATTTCCTTGCTTTTGAAACTGGATAACCTTAGCACATTGAAATATTATTTTTGTCTGTATTTTGCTTATCTCTTGGGCTTTTTTTCTCCCCTTATGTACCTCATAAGGCAAAGGATGCTCTTTGAGTCGTTTATTATTTGGATAGTTGCTGTAAGCTTTAATTCTGCTCAGAGCATTCGTCTGTATAATAACACTTATGTTGTGAGTGAGATACTTATTTTAATGGACAGCACACAAAACCTAAACATGCAGCATTTTATTAAACCTTCAATTAGTGTTAACTTATGGGACTTTTTTTAAAATTTGAAGTCTTTTATGGCGGAAACCAAAATTACTTATATTTGTGGTAAATATTTTTGCAGTTCTCATTTAAACCTGTTTTTTTTGCTTTGTTCCAGATTGGGATGTTGACTATAACTACTGATAATGAAAAGGTAATCTGTTGGAACATAACACACTAAATATGTTAAATCATAGAATCATAGAATGCTTAGGGTTGGAAGGGACCTCTAGAGATCATCTAGTCCAACCCCCCTGCACACGCAGGGTCACCTAGAGCACATGGCACAGGACTGCGTCCAAGCGGGTTTTGAAGATCTCCAGAGAAGGAGACTCCACAACCCCTCTGGGCAGCCTGTTCCAGTGCTCTGTCACCCTCACTGTTAAAAAATTTTTCCTTAAGATGTTTCAGTTCTCACTCTCTTAAAACTTAATCGTGATAATTACTGAAAACATTGCAATAACTTACAATAATGGTATGAGTCAAATATTGTCTGTATATCCAGGTTTTTGAAAGTCATCTATTTTGCTTTGAATGCACAGTAACTGCAGAGTTCACGTTCAGCTGACTGCAGTTCAATGCTTTCCCTCTTCTGATCGTGCAGGAACCTGATGTATGTTGTTTTTCCCTGCTCTTCCCTTTTTTCTCCCTCTTCTGAATGAATGATTACTAGTGAAAAGGAGCCAGATAATAGCAGATACAGGTTCTTAAAAGCTACTCTATAATATTAAAATTCAGACTAATGAGAAGCCATGTGAAAGTTGCTTCTAGAGGGTAACTATAACTTACAGGAAACTGGAAGTTTAAAACGCAAACTACCACACAGTGTTCAAAGAAACCTCTAGCAACATGGAGCATAGGAAATGTGTGTTGCAGTGTCTGTGAGCTGCTGAAATTTGCTGAAACTTGGTTATGTGCAGAAGTTCCTGCTGGGGAAAAAAACAGCAGGCTTCTTGCTAGGTACAAGCAGTGCCCTTCTGTGGATTTTTGACTTTATGGAAGACTTGGTGTTAAACTGAGCAATTCTTACAACTTCAACTCGTTGCTATAGCAAAAATTGGTAAATCAAAGGTATACCCTTCTTATGTGATAGTTCTATACAAGTTTTTGTGCTTGACACTGAAAATCACCCTTTACCTGCTCTAATTTATTTGTTGTTTTGGGTAACTTGAAACTTCTGGGTAGGGCAGCCAGACCTTAGCTGGAAAGAAGAAAAGTCCTTATAGAGGATAAGGATGTGGTGTAAATGTGGTGTAATGATTTAGTTCTGCTCTGTCACCCTATATCTGCTTTTTTTGTTTGTTTGTTTTGTTTTGTTTTGTTTTACCAGGCTTCAGATATTGAGTCTCGTGAAGCCTTGATAAAAAACCACTATATGGCAAGGATAGCAGAACTTACATATCATTTACAGCTTGCCGACAGCAAATCAGTGCACTTTCATGCCGAGGTGAGTGTGCAGGCAGTTTCTGTACTGAAAACAGTAAATCCTTTATTTTTTTCTCAGAAAGGCAATATGACAGTGGGTTAAATATATACTTTGTAATGTTTCAGAAAACTTTTTTTCTGGAATGTTTTTGACTGTGGTGTAGTATACATAAAAATGGGCACTATAGAAAGTTTCTGAAACTTCTTAGTCATGTCTTAATTGCATTTACTGAGAAGCACAGCAAGTATCATACTTGTTTTTTAATACAAGTTGAAGTGGCTGGTTTTAATTACCAACCTAGACTTGATTTCATTTGAATAATGTCAGTGCCATTTTAAAAAGTGTTTGACCATATTGTCACAAAGGGATAAAAAGAGGTCTCTGAGAAATTGGTTTTTAGGCATGAGTCATTTTAACTGGAAGAATGAATGAAATGCTTCATTGCCTCTAGAGCTTCCCCTCTTCTCAAACCACAAGTAGCTCCCTGAAAGTGGTTAATCCCTCAAATCAAATTAGCTTGCCCTTCAGGTTGTCAGGGGAAATTCTAGTTATTATTTTTCTAAGACTAGATGAGGAATGGAAGAATCGATTTTCTCTGATACTATAGCAACATAAGTGACTCCTTTGTGTTGCTTTTTACTTATGAAATATTTCCTAGCAATAACATGAAAAATACAAGCCAGTGATACAATGCAGAGACGATTCTGTAAAATGAAACAAAAAGTTGAATGTTAACTGCTATCCTTGCATGTAAGAACGATTATAAGCTGTGAGTAAATTTCTTGAAATGTAAGGATTGTGTGTGTGTAAGGAGTATGGCTTACAGAAAAATGAAAACTGAATAGTTTAACTGGATGTTAAAGCTGGCACAAGACAAAATATTCTGCTGAGACTAACTTTTATTCTTTCTGCTCTACTTGTCCTGCTCTGATGGACAGTGTCGAGCGCTTGCCAAAAGACTGGCTTTAGCAGAGAAGTCCAAGGAATCGCTTACGGAAGAGCTGAAACTAGCTAGTCAAAACATCAGTAGATTACAGGTAAGTAAAATGTTAAGTAGTGTAGGAGATGCATTTCATAAGTGTGTGTGAGGGGAAGCTGAGGGAGAAAAATGTGAAGGCCATAGAGAGTGGTCATACCTCTACTAGGATCTTAGGAATAAATGTAAAAACTGTAAAGTCATGCAGAAAATGGATTAAGCTAGTACATTTTAAATCCATCTGTAAAGTGGAATGTTCTTTCAACAAAAAGTAGTAGCCATCTAAGGGGGTGTGTGTGACTGACCTCAGTGGCTTGCCCTCCTGCGTGAGGAGGGGATTGCTCTGTATACAACCAGCATATACATCCACTCTCTTTTTTGTCATATTTTATTTCTTAAACAGTATGCAGAGTGAAAACTGACAGGCTTTACCCTTAGAATGCCAGGGGGTGTGTGATTGGTTGGTTGGTTTTAGGATGGATGGCTCAATAAGTAAAAATAGACCTGGGGTAGCTGAAAAGGGGGCCAAGGGTGTAAAAATAAAAATCACAAGTGTTCAGTGGCATTCAGTGCATTCACTTTTTTCTTATTGAGTTAGTACATACTTTTATTGCTTGTTTGCTTGCTTGCTGAAACAGTGTGTGCCCAAGATGCTACATATAAGGAATGAATGCTGGTAATAGATGCCTGCCAAAACTGTGTTCAAGAACACAGTAGTCTTGATTTGTCCCTTTAGCAAACTTCACAAGCAATATCTACCTCAACATGAGACGGCAACATACAACTACACAATCAACTAGGTAATAAATGACTAGAGGCGCACTATTCTAAATTTAAGTCTATATAATACTGAAACATAGAATCGTTTAGCTTGGAAGAGGACTCTGAAGGTAATGTCGTCCACTCTGTGGTCAAACCAGAGCCAAGTTAGCTCTGGTGGAATGAGTTCCCTATATGCCATGCTGGCCTTCTGCCATGTTTGCTTCATTTTCTGAACACTGGCCTGTCTTTGGCTCTGAGGAGGTTGTCCTTGAAGATCAGCCAGCTTTCTTGGGCCTCTTTACTTTCCAGGGGGGGTTTTTATGGGATCTTGCCAAACAGGTCCTTGAAAAAGCCATACGCCATACCTGTGGCTTACTGCAGCCAAGGCTGCCATTTGCTCTCACGTGCCAGTTTTTCCGTATTTGTGAGGAAGGGGTCTAGGAGTGTGTGTCTCGGGCCTATTGACATTTTCTCTTAGGAAGTTGTCTTTATGACACTGAAGAGACCTCCTGGATTGTTTGTCACACCATGTGACAGGGAGGTCAGTCTGTGTGTGAGACAATGAAGGAGCCAACAGCTATTGTTTTTTACATGAAGTCATTTATTTATTTATTTTCCCAGTGGCTTAATTGCACACATTCAGCATCAAAATTTCTGCGTACTAGGTAGAAATACAAATTGCTCATTTTGCTGGTTGTCGCTAATATTAAGCAAATGCTTCTGGTTATCCTTTTTTTTTTTTTTTTCCCCTCTCTTCAGGACGAATTGATGACAACAAAGAGAAGTTATGAGGATCAGTTAAGCATGATGAGTGACCATCTCTGCAGTATGAATGAAACCTTAACTAAACAAAGGGAAGAAATTGATACACTAAAGATGACTAGTAAGGTAAGTTGCCAGGCACTGACACTGGGCACTGACTGCAGCTGGGGCTCTCGAGGTTGCATCTGGCATTGGTGCATTACTGGCCATGAACAAATCCAGCTACAAACTTATTGCCTGCCAGTTGGAAAGAAAACTCTCAACTGTCCTGCATACTGAGTGAAGCAAAGACTCTTGGGAAACATAGACAAGGCACTTTGTGTCGCTGTTTCAAAGTAGGCTCTGAAAATAGACCTTTTTTTTGTATTCCATCGTATTCCATCTGGTGAAAATAAAAAATACTTGCAAATCCACTTGATGATGCCAGATATTTATGCTTCACTTACAGGTAGGAATGTTCTCCCTGCCCTCCTTCATTAGTTGCAGGATACTCTGCTCTTGGCAGTTACTTTTTCTGCCTGTGTTACTTCCATGTTCTAGTCCATCTCTTTTTTTTTTTTTTTTTTCTTCTCTTTTCTCCTCCCTTGTGGAAATGAAAATATTGCCACTAATTCTCTTGTGAAGTCTTTTAAAATGCATGCTTAGACTCCTGACTTGGAAAAACTGTCTTCATCAGCAATGATAGTTTTTTGACTTGTCTTGTTTATGTTAGTGATGCAGTAACTGGAAATCTGCCACTTGCAGGAATCATTGCTTAAACCATGGTATATCATTTCCTGAAGTTTTTCAAGAGAAAAAACAAAACAAAAACAACCCTGATGCTTCAGCTATATTTGTCCTTCACGAATCTGCCTGTGAAATTAAACTGGCATTGTTCTCTAATTGTTGGAGATATGGAAGGAGGTTTTACTGCTCGGTAAAAATCCATGTTTTGATTAGAGGTTCCATGACAGCATCTTTATTTTTAGATTCTTCTCCACATGTGCAGAATTGTTTTTCTTTAGAGGTCTGAGTTTTATTTTTGGCATTGCAAACTTTATTTTGGATTGTTTGTTTTTGGTGTATAATCTTCATAATTTTTAGAGGAAAGCTTTTAGCTGTATGCTCACTGTAGCACTTGTGTTTTTATTAAGTGTTTTCTGGAAGTTTCTCACTACATCTAAGAATTGAAAAGGTCTGTCTCTAAGCAAGTAGTTCAAAATTTCATAACAGTAGACAGTGGTTTTGGTTTTCAAATGCTGCCAAAAGGCAAAAAGTGATCCAGTGCCTTCACTTCCAGGCCTCAGGTTGTTTTATATATGCAGTTTGTTTAAACTTCCTTATCTGAGTAACATATATTTACTTGTTCATATATTTTTGTTGCTGCAGGGAAACCCTAAAAAGAACAAAAGTCGATAGTTCCCAGCTGATCAATCATCTTCAGAGGATGCTGCTGAACAAGCTGCAGATCTGGCAAATCCCTGTCCAGCTCCTGGTGCTTACAGGAAGCAGAGGTGGTTTTGGGTCTGGTGAAGACAGTTCTGGGGCTGTCAAGGCTTTTAGACATTTAGAACTTGTAATGGATGAAATGGAACTTTGTGTCGGCTCTGAACCAGACAATATATACTCCGTGGATAATTTATATAGTAATTACCTTCACTTTTTACTGTGCACTTTTTCAAACCAGGTTTTAATTTCATGTAATAACTTCAGATTTTGTATATTTTCAGATCTGATTATTCATTAACAAATTAGGTATCAGTGCAGTAGTTGTCTGTTTCTGAGTTAAATTGAACTGTCAATGTGTACATTCGGTTACTAGTTAATAGCAGTTTAAAAATGAAACTTGAAGACTTTTTGGGGGCCATGCACACTGTGCAGTTAATGTAGATGTATTATTCCTGTTCTCAGCTCTTCTGAAATTATTGGGGTTGTGGCTTTAAAAATGATTTCTATACATTCACACAAGTAAATGGGACCATTCTTACTGTAGACCATAACAAGACTTGCTGGTTGTATTTGGCACTTTGAATTCTGAAATAAAGAGCACGAATAGCTGAACTGGGGTACGTCTATGAACTTACTTTAAGCCCTTATTTAGGCATTTTGTTTACTGATTGAAATAGCTTGAAATAACTGTTTAAAACTAGAGCAAAATGTGATCATAGGATGCCCCAAAGAGTGAAGCAATATACATTCATAGGATAGATCAGTTAACAGTAAAAAAGTACAGTAAAAAAGAATGTGAATTATGTAGCAGTTTAAACACTGAATTTGCAAATAAGTCTTTTGTGGAATTAAGACATTATCCTGATGGAGTGACTGTGGGTGAGGTTATGGCTTTTTCTGTGTTTAGGGAAATCTGTGAACTGTGAGCCTCCTAAATCTCTTAGAAATTTTCAGTGAAGGCTGTTACCACAAGCTGTCACAGCATTTTTCTTTGAGATGCTGTAGTGCTCAACACTTTGCATTGAACTTCTATTCCATAACTTGCATTCTGGCACTTGCCCCATCAGGGTTTTCTCTGAGATCAACTGTATCAATATGTGTTATGAGTATCAAATAAAATCCGTTGCAGAAAGGCAGCTCAATTTGTTTGCTTTACTCTGCTTACATGTGGATTGCACAACGCGCAGTTGTGGCAAGATGCTCAAGTTTGTCCCCAGGAGGTGAGCTTTGGAGCTGGACCCATCTGGTTGTTCTTGGTGGTGGTTCTCGTGGTGGGTTAGTCTGAGCAGGGCCATGTTGTCCCTTGCACAAGCTGCATCTCGCAGCTGCATCTCTGCAGTATGTAAAGCACAGCCAGTCCACGTTAGCACTTCCTCATTCACATCCACTCAATGACAGCTTCCAAAGACAAGTTTGTGTCCTACGCTACAACTGTTGCGAAATCTGTTTTGATTTGGGGGTTTCCCTCTAAAAGAAAAAGACAGTCACTAAACTGGAGAAGACGGGAAAGAGGATTAAACTGAGTGAAAAAACTACATAGAGCTGCTAATGAGGCCTGGGAGGAGTGTTTTATGTTCTCTCTAATCCTTTTGTTAAAGCATGTTTCATGTTCAGCTGTTTTAAGTAGCTAGGGAAGCTAATTGTTTTCTTCTAAGTCTTCTGAAGCTGCCTCTTCTAAGGATTTCTACTCTGCGTACTTTACAGGTAGGAGTTCAAGTATCGTGTTTGATTCTCTCGTGCATTCAGAAAAGGGCTTTTGCATATGCCATTTTCTGAAAGGCCTAAGTTAAAGACAAACTTTGAAGATTTTTTTTTCTTTATTTTTTCAAACAAAGTTAAAACCATCTGTGTTACCTCCAACTGTTTTTGCAACAGAGCATAGCACTGCACCAAAACTAGAATCAATACAGAATGTGCAGGCAACTAGGTGCAATTCTAAAGTGTGCTGGTTTATCAGTATTTTTCCCTTGGACTAACTATTTGGAAATCTATGTGAGCATCTGCCTCAGTCAGCTGTAAATAATGCCTGTGGAGAGATGGGTAGGCAATTTGGGTCACTCAAGCTCTCTTCCTTGAGTTTTTTTTTTTTTTTTTTTTTAAAGGAAAAGTTTTCAAGTAAGTTCTGGACAGTCGTAAACTATCAATACACAAAAATTAGGATCTCTGGAAAATGGTGGGATACGATGTCAGCTGGTATGGTGTAAAGAAGACAAAGCCATGATCTTCTCGCTGGGATCCGGTGACACACTAAGAGATAACAGGTGCTGATGGACGTAGAAAACTTCCTTACACATCTAACTATGCGTTGAGCCTTGAGGAGGGTCTGTCTCTGAGGTGGGCAGTTTGTGTTCTTTAGTGCGCTAAGCATACAGGGCAATTAGAGCACCAGGCTGCCAACAGCATGGTCAAAATGAAAACAAATCTTAAGGCAAATAAAACCAAAAAAGTAATTGCTACAAGAGGTCAGGTTCCTCTCTTACCCGGGCAAGATGCCACTCCATAAAGAATGCTTAGTTCATGTTTTCTACCCTGTTGTTACTTGCAGTATTACTCAGCAGTGAATCAAGACTATGTTTGAAGAGGCTGTGGTTGTCCAAATTCCCTACTATTTCCCTTAGTTTCCAAGCCAGACACTTGCCCTACCTGAAAGGGTGCCTGCAGAACTGCTGCCTTCAAAGGAGAGGTGGCTGCAGAGGGCAGCTTCTGGGGTCTTTATATGGGATCATATTTGAGTCTTTATAAGCTAAAGCCCAATGGGAGCTATGAAATCTCCCCCATGGAAATGTGCCTGGGTTCATTCCTCCTCGGAATGCTGGTGGCTTTAGCCCTGTCTGTGCCAATTCCCAGTCACTTGGCTTCTTGTAAAAGCCTTGAGTGCAAAGACTTGCATTGCCTTATAGTGCTAGGGTGATGTAGTTGACCTGCAAAATAAAAAGCATGTGCTTCTTACTGGATTTAACTTGCCTGTCAGGCTGCTTAGTTAACTGCTGCTATAAGAATTTTGGTGTTAAAGTTGATATATGAAATTGTAAAAATGAATATTTCTGTAACTTCAGAAGTCAAATGATTTATCTGCACTGATTTTTACCTCTAGATCACATTGCAAGTCCAAAACCTTATAGAAAGATGGAATCAACCCTTAAAATCCAGACCTGAGATCAAAGCTCTCTATTTACATTCTTCCATAAGCAACAGGGCTTGGTGTTTGAGAAGTGTGGAGGCCATAAAGTTTAAAGGGCAGAGCAGAATTTCCAGTTATTTTAAGCACTAGAAATTATATTTTATTAGCCAACCTGGAAACTAGCCTGGGGCAGCGTTTAGCTTTTTGCAATTTTCTAACCTTATATAGGATATTGCTTCTGAAATGAGTATGTAGAGAGGAAGAAAGAAAACCCTGAAATGTGTGTCACCCTCCTAGAGATTCAAGCTTTCCTCCTTTCACACCTAGAGGACTTCAGCCTGTGCTTGAAGCGTAAGTGCAAAGCACTTTTCATGAATGATTTTTAAAGTAAGTTAAAAGCTTGAAAAGATGTGAGCTGAGGACTTCAGTGCAGTTTCACTATAGGCATAGCTACAGGAGTATCATTACTGTGCCCCTTATACAACTGTCTACTTACAAACTTTAAAGCTGTGTGTAGTTCATGTAGTGTCAGCCACAGCTAGTATTTACCTTGTAGCAGGGGAAATGAATTTCACCAAAAATTTGTTTTCGGATCTGGAAAGTCTGATTGATTTTTAGTCTGGGTGCACAAAACAGGCTTTCTTAGGCTAAAGGCCTGGCCCAGGAGGTCAACAGCATTTGAAGCTAGCTGCAGGAGGCAGTGAATCTCTAACAAAAAGAATGCAATAGTGTGTTTTATTCCTGCTACGCAGTATTTTTGTAACCAGCTTATATACAGTGAATATGGAGAACTTAATAAATGTGCTAAACTTGTGCGATTTTTAATAGGAATAGTTTTAAGTGGATGAAAAAAATAATTTAGTAAGGAGAGAAGAACTTGTTTCTGATTTTAATTCTCAAAATGGATGTTATCTTTTTCACGGTAATTTGTTGCCAAAATAAACAAGGAAGTAGGACAAAATTATAATAAAGTCTAGAAATCAGTGCTTTTCTGTCTTTAATAATATTTGTTCTGGCAATATATGAACTGACAGGCTTTGCTTGTCAAACTAGTTATAAATGGTAAATAGTAGAGAGGTTAATATAAAATAAATCATGTTAAGATCAACATAAATATACGTATAAATATGAAGTGACTTCATTAGCATTGTAAAATGTTGAATGAGTTTAATAACTGCCTGTATATATTGTATCTTTATGTAAAACACTTAAAGCAATTAAAACTATTTCTACAGTAAATATATCTTGAAGTTGATTTGCACATGCTATTTGTTAAAGCCTAATTATACTAGATATTTTAAAATTTCAGTATCGGAGAGGGCTGGTTTCTGCTTGAGTTTAGTGTCCTGAATTATTTTGGGGAAAGATGAGAATAGCAGAATTTTATTAAAGTCTCGTTTTAAAAAAACGAATCCTAAATATTAGCTCTGTCAATTTTGCAGAAATCTGTTTATAACCCACCTCCCTGTGTTCATGTGCTTACACAGCCTTATTTGATATTGAAACCTAACAGTGACCTTGACAGCAAGAAGCAGTTTTGTTGCAGAGGGTGGTGTGGGGCACCATTAGTCACCTCCTGTTCTCCTCTCCAGTCCCTCTGTGGTTTGTCAGCATGAAGCCAAGCTGAGCTCTCACACACAAAAGAGCAGACTTGCCTCAGTAAAGGAAAAAGCTCATCTAGTGCTAGACAAATGCTGACCTTGATACAAAGATGTGCAAAATAATACCCTTTCCATTAGAGCACTAGAGCTGAAAACTGTGAGAAAGGCTAGCATGGAAGCTAAAAGTAAAGGGATTTATTAAATGTTGTGAGGGGGAAAAAAATAATAGGTATATATATGCAATTCTGCAGGAGATGT